CAGAGCTACACATATACACATCACATCATGGCAATTCAAAGGGTGCAAATGACAGTAAGTATACCCCAGCATTTAGACTGTGCCAAATAGCCTTAATTATTCAAGTACAGTCTGGACAACCCAAGGGTCGCATGTTTGAATCTACTTACAGGCACTTTTATCTTTTGGGATTTTTCCTGTTAATTACAATTCTCAGTCCACCTTGACTGTGTTTTACTATAGTATGGAATTGTTCTAGCAACAAGAATTAGTGTGTCATTTGAATTGTATGAGTGCCACAGGCCTACCCTGGTTTAATGAGTTCATGTTCTATCAACAAATTGACAATGCATCTTGTTAAAATTTACATTTCAGCCCCTTGCAGTTAATTGGAAAAGTATTATAGTATCATTTTGTTATTACAGGAAGCAGATACTGCTCTTATTGTATCAGCAAGAGGAGGAGACTATGATACTGTAAAAGTACTGCTGGATAATGGAGCTGATCCAAACATAGGCAAAGAATGGGATTATGTTAGTACATAACATCATTTACTTGTACATTAGAATTACAGCAAGCATGATGAGGAATTTATTACATGGTTAATTCAATTACTGTCCTTCATGTCATATTAATGTCCCTTATTATCATAACTCACTATAATACATTTTTATTACCATTTATGTACATGTAGTTGGTTATTTTCATGGGTTGTGATTTGCTCCTAGTTAATTTGTGCATGGTTTTAATTTTTGTGGTTGACAGTTTTAAGGAAGTGGCACTTAAATGATTTTGTAGGTGGTTGGTGCTAAATTATTATTTTTAATTTTTTATTATAGCATGCTACAGCACTGATTGAAGCAGCAAGAGAAGGACATAGTAATGTAGTTGAACTATTATTATCCAAAGGAGCTGATCCAAACTATATGGATAATGTGAGTATTAGTACTTGACAATTAATAACATTTTGTAAAAATAATATTGTAATTATATACATGTACATTATAGATACATGTACATGTACTGTATTTGCTTGAATGAACACCCTCCCAAATAAACACCCATGACTTACATGTACATGTATATTTTCCCACTATTTAATGTACATTCTAGATACACATATTTTGCCCATTATACTGTTGTTTCTATCTTTCTTTAAATTCTAAGTACCGTAAGTGTAGAAATTTTCAAAGAAATAAATTTTAGCGATTTTGTGCTAGCTACATGTACATGTACTTTATTTTGTGCATGTAAAATTTGTGTCGACAAAATTTTGTGGATAATCATAAAATGCATCATCACTGAGGTCATGTGATATAATAATTATTGCACGTGGACTCTCATTGTTTTCTATTTTGTTTCTCTGGGTCTTTAGCTACAACAGCTGCTTGTGACTTCTCCTCTGGCTTGTCTTTTTTCACTATCTTCCTCATTTTTGTCCACATGCTTGAAGAACTTGTGCAGTGCCATTTTTATTTTGTGGACATTTCGTTTATAAAGGTTAAAGTATTAATTTTTGTGGTTAGATGGTACTGGCGAAAACATTGGAAATTAGGGCACCTTGAAAATTTCATATTCCGTAGGTGTGTAAGTGTGCATGCATGATCAACCTGGGTAGGCTAGGTCTGTGGTTTGTGTATGCTTGTTGTTTATGTCTTAGTGAAAATTACAGATTTTTTGGGCTTTTTAGTCAGCAGGTATCATTCTGAATTTACAAGTGTTGACACTAGCATGCTACATGTACTTTCTATTGGTACCAATACTTGTGCTCAATCTAGCATGGAATTAAGTGAACATTTTTAACCCTTCTGGCTGAGAAGTCCATTATCATATGTTTTGACTGTACCATCCCAGCCAATTGTGTCAGCTCTCTAGCA